GTTAACTCTTCGATTGGGACGGGTCAAAAATTGACCGGTCACTTCCACTAAAAAAGTGACCGGTCACATTTTGGGCGATAGCCATTTCGCCACTTAATGTTGCGAAGGATATTCCAGAGGACCAAAGAGATGGGTTGAACTCAAGAAATGACCGGGTAACCTTTGAGGAAAGGTGACCGGTCATGTTGCGCTACTTGAGAAGGGCAATCAACATCAGAGACTAGAGGACACCCCGCCGCTCATCCATCACGAGGCAAACAGTGAAGGGAATGATTGGCGTTTTGCAGGATTGATTGGATTGAGAATATCCATGTTAGTTTTTGATTGAACAGTGCATGTCTTGGCTTATAGTTGCTATATTCATTGATTGAATAGTAAATTGATTATGTACAGTGACCTTCCTTCGGGTTTCCCATTTTGTCCATGGATGAACAGGGGAAGGTCACAAATCCTCCTCTATAAATATGATGATATTGGATAGAGGAGGGGATCCATCCTTTCTCTCACTAAAAAACTAGTACACTCTTAAGACAGAGTAAGAAATATATTTCGGACTGAGGAGATTTACCCGGTCTAGGTCATAATTTGTGTTCTTGTTGTGTGTTTTATATTACGGGTCGAGTGTCCAGGTCAAATCCGGTCAACCCACCCAGCTATATTTACACCATCACCGTACATTATAAATGGCTTGTTTGGAAATAGCGTTAGAGATTAGCGTCAATGTTTTGGATAAAATTTTAACGATGCAAATTACAAACATGCACAAAGAAGGGGCATTCCGAGAATTGAACTCGGGACCTCTCGCACCCTAAGCGAGAATCATTCCACTAGACCAAATGCCCTAGATATCAATTGACACTTAAATAAAAGTACACTAGTATCACACCCGCGCGTTGCACGACTCATATTTACGTTACTAAATTAAAATTATTTTTCAATGGCACTGATTTAAAAGTGCATTTGAAAGAAACTAATTACGAAAATCCTTGCAAATGATCGTATTTATACTATGAAAAGTTTTTGGCTTATTCTATTTTCCTTTTTTAGAATTTTTTTAAAAATTACAATGTAGTATTTTCGGCCAAATTACACGGTTGGTGTTACTTATCATTTCAACATTACTTTGTTAACTTAAATTTTTAATTATCAACATGTATTTATGATTCTTTCTTACCAAACCGTAAATAAGAAAAACACTTTATTTAAAATATCTATAAAGTATAAATGGAAATACAACTGTAATTT